GGTGCTCCGCCGAAGCCGCGCTGGGTTGACCATCGCCACCGACCACTACCTCTCTCGGAGGCGACGGTCATCGCGCATGGGTGGATGTGGCTAGACCAGGCCCTGGCCAACTTCGCTAAGCTGCTCCAGGACCCCAGCACGCCCGTGGTCGCGCTCCAGGCGGAGCTTGATGCCTTTCTCGCGGAGCAGTATCATGGTCGAGGCCTCAACGATGACCTTGACAATGCTGCCCGCGACGGCCGCATCATGGTGGATAGGGCCTGTGCCATGGCTGCTGGGGAACCCCGAAATGATCCGCCCCTGCAGCCACGTATGCGCCAGCCACAGACAAACAGTTTCGACGATGAGTGGCATGATCCCTTCGATGATCTACAATACGAGCAGGAGCCAGATGGTGATAGTCCAGTCTCTGATCGTGCGAACCCTGGAGTGGCGTCACCTCTGCGCGACAGGCCACCGACGGGTGGGCCCACCCTTCGGGGTCGGAGGGGATCCCTCCCCCGCACAGCTAACCAGGTAGGGCCCCCCGACGGGGGGGTGGTCGTTGCCCCCTACCTGGCTGGTGACATAGCCCCAGGGTGCCCACGATCAAGCGTACCTGACGGCCCAGAGACCCACCGACAACAGCTGGAGGATGTCGGCTTCGAGGCTGCTGCCTCCGCCCACGCCCCAGCGGGCCTGCGCGGCGTTGAGGCCGCCTCCTGCGATGGCGCAGTCGAGGCCATGCGGCCCGAGGCCAGGACAGCAGCTACAGTCCTCACCGAACGGCGTGCTGAGTTCGCTAAGCAGGTTCACGATAGTCAGACAGCGGATCAACGGGAGTCGTGGCAACGGTGGCAGGACTGGTGCGATACCGCCTCAGCCACTGGTGGTCGTGGCCTTCACCGTGCGACTCGTGTTCCTGATGCACCGCGTCCAACAGTGGTCGCAACGGAGAATGGCAAGTCTGCTCACCCACATGATGTAGTAGCAGCTGAAGTCGACAAGCATCGTCGGTTGTGGCATGCCTCTGACTCTCCGCTGCCTGCCTGGGTACCTGACAGATCAGCGCTGCCCCGAGCGACGGCAGCGCAGCTGAGAGAAGTATCAGTGACTTTCCCGCACAAGGCAGCGGCCAGTGTGGATCGCATTCATCCCCGGCACTTCTCGTTCCTATCTGACCAAGCGCTCGAAGTGTTGGCCACGCTGAACCAGGCCTGTGAGCGCATAGGCCTTCTACCAAGGCAACCTTGTTTCATGGTCATGCCGATGTTGGCAAAGCCTGACTCAGGCCATCGCCTAGTCATTCTCTATGCTGGTGCCCATCGTCTGTGGCAGAGGTACCGACGTGACCCCCTTGGCCTAATGCATGACACGCTCAAGCGACGATACTGGGGCGCGATAGCTGGCAGGAGCGCATTGGATTCATCTTGGCTACAGGCTGCCCGTGGAGAGGCAACCACGGCCGACGACCACTACAGCGTGCTGCTCCTGATGGACTACAGCAAGTTCTACGAGAGTGTACCGCTCGACACCCTTCGCGATAGAATGATTGCCTGTGAGATTCCGATGCCTGCGATGCAGCTTTTGTGCAATACCTGGAGGGGACCGCGCATCATGCGCCTCGGCCTGCACCACAGCCCCACCGTGCTCCACGCCAAGCACGGCCTCCCTGCGGGCTGCGCTTACGCTGATGCAGCGGTGCGCGCCTTCACGGCTACAGAGTATGATCAGAATTTGGTGCGGAACCCCGCGATCGATTTCATGAGCTACATCGATGATACGGGAGTTCATGCTTCGGGAGCTGACCGTGATGCGGTACTAGGTGTGGCTGTTCAGGCAGGTCAGGATTTCTTCAGAGTGTCCCAGTCACTAGAGGCCACCCTTAATGATAAGGTGGCAATCGTGTCCAATGATGCTCAACTCGGCCAAGATGTGGCAGGACAGATGGGACTGGATCGACAGAAGGTGCGCCCTGCGGTTGCGTACCTTGGGGCGGACTACGCTGCTGCCCGCCGGCGTGCCCACCCCTTCACGGGCAAGAAGCGTCTCAATCGCACCCGAGAAGCACGCCAACGTTTAGCTAAGTCTGCCAGGCTCAGATCAATGCGGAAGGCTGACGAGAGACTTGGGCGGATATTCAAGACAGGAATCAAGTTGGGCTCGCAGTATGGAGTTGAAGTCAACGGAGTTGATGATCGTGAGCTGCTGTCGCTACGCCGCCAAGCCCTATCCTTGAAGTCGCCCACCACTAAACGTGCTATTTTAAAGCCAAATTGCCCCTCCATGGGAAACCCATGACCCGTGAAGCCATGGCCCCCGCCCTACAGTGGGCTAAGATGGTCTGGCAGGCCCACGTGTTCCCTCAGGAGGCCCTGGTCGGCACCCAGGAGCTCAAGTGGATCTGGGCTCGCGTGTTTCACTACGGCCTTGTGGCCCCAGCTTCTTGGGCGCAGTCAAAAGGCCCTGTCGGCCGCGTCCTCCTCTGCCTGGCCCGCGCGGGCTGGCAAGCCGTTTCAGCCACCCTTTGGAAGGGCCACAATGGGGTTCAGGTAGACCTCACCCACGCGTCGCCTAGTCTGCTCCTTGGGATGTTTAAGGTTTCGTTCCAGGCTGGCCACGAAAGGACGTTCGGGGAGCAGTTGGGGGTCGGAGGTCATAGGGCCAGCCTGGAACCAGTCAGTCGTGCGCTTCGAACCAAGAAGTACACGCGGCATCAGAAGTATTTAGTACGGTCGTGTCTGTGCGACTGCCTCTGGACAGAGTCGCATGCCCATGAAAAAGGGTACGCAACGGATCGTGGAGGTCAGTGCCAGTGCGGCAAGCCAGGCACAGTGTTTCATAGACTTTACGAATGTCAGTTGCCAAATATTCTCGAGGCTCGCGCCTCTTCCGACGTCTCGCAGAGTTCCGTTCAGTATGGCCTCGAGGCTGGGCCCGACAGTCGGCTCTTTGTGCGAGGTGCGGTCGTCATCGAAGATGAAGATGTACCACCGATTTCTTCCCAGCCTGCTGCCCAAGTGCTCACAGGTGAAGGGGTTTTGTTGCCCGACACTGACATAGAAGAGATAGTCCAGTTTGCGGGGACCTCACAGAGTCTCCACGTTGCAGTTGACGGCAGCAGCACGATGCCAACGCTCTCTGTATTCCAGCGAGCAGCCTACAGCGTGATCCTTGTTCAGCCTTCGCCACCCAAAACATGTGCGGTCCTCCGAGGGGTCATTCCTGCTGGCTTCCCGCAGACCCCTGCGATGGCTGAGAATTTTGCTTTAGCGGTGGCATGTCAGATCGCAGATCGACCAGTGTACATTCACGCTGGTTGTAAGGCTGCCATCTCGCAGGCACTGTTACCCCGAGCTGCGCAGCTCCGACCCAACAAAGTGTTTGCTGGCATTTCTGCGTTTGCTAGGTCGTTGCCTGGATTCCGGCACATCCAAGCGATCCAGCATGTGAAAGCCCATCGCAGCCACGAAGTCATCGATGCGTTGCCGCCTCATGAGCGCGCGATTGCGCAAAGTAATTGGGAGGCCGATATCAATGCCAAGCAGGCGTTGTTGCTCCATGCCCCCATTGGTCCCGAGGCTGCCATGAGACTTGATAGTGAAATTGGTATGGTTTCCAATGTTGTCAAGCTGGCTGCCACCATTCCCCCCGAATGTGGGAACCGCCGTCAGCGCCGTGACCGCCCGCTTGCGAGGCACAGCTCTGTTAGGACGGGACCCTCTTGGCATGAGTGGCAGGATGGACCTTTAGGCTCCCAGTGTGAGCACTGTTTGTCACTGGCCCCGCAGGTCCCTAGTGCCGAGGTGACAGGGTGTCCTGGGGCCCCGCCGTTCGTTCGTAGTGTCGTCCGCCGTTCTTTGGGGCACCTGATAGTCGGTGTGGCTTCCCATGAGATCCATTCCAGGAGCCCCCCCAGGCCAAGGACCTGCAGGCCCATGTTGCAGTTGCAGTTTCTGTGCCTGAAGTGCGGGTGTTGGTCCCAGCGGTGTGCCCGAAAACTCGCGGACGAGTGTAAGCGCCCCTCCCGCAAAGGAGCCGAGGCTTTGTCCAAGTATGCCCAAGGTCTTGGGCCGAGCAACCGTGCACGCCAGTTCATAGATCGTGCTGCCCGTGCGCACCACCTTCCTCCCCCGTCGACGGGCCCGAAAGTGCGGACCCGCACGACGGTCCCGACTGTGTTTCAGGCGGAGGGTGATCGGGTCCCAGAGTATGAGCGCCGAATGTCGGAGCTCAAGGCCCGCATCGCCGCTCGAGAGGCGAAGAATGTTGAATCGTGATTTTGTTTCAGTTCGGTGGGGTGCCCTGTCGCGGCCCAGGGCGGAGTGTCGGGAGCTCCGCCCCTGGGTTACAAATGTCCCCTCCGAGGGGCAGCCTCCTCCTCCCTCCTCCTCCTCCTCCTGCTTCCTCCCTCCTCCTCCTGCCTCCTCCTCCTCCCTCCTCCTCCTCCTCCGTAGCCATTTTGGCTCAAGCCATTGGGCAGGAGTCAGCGGCGGCTTGCCTCCCTGCGGAAGGATCTCGGACCCAGCCTCCTCGTCCGCCATGGAGGCTGTGCTCGCGGCGTGCCCGGCGGCAGCGGCGGCAGCCTTCGGCGCAGTCTCGGCCGTCTTGCAGTCTGGCCTCGAGGGCAAGATCCTGTACTCCGCGGTGGCTGCTGCCGCCCGCGGCCAGCATCTGCAGCTGGGAGTCTTCGGCAAGACGCCGACGTTCAGCGGGCTGACGGGGTCGCCCACATCGTGCTCCTGGAGCGTGCTCTCGGCGTCGTGAAGCGGGCGTTGCACCTCGAAGCCAAGCTCTCGCACACGGCGGCGAAGCGCGCCCTCCGCCAGCGTGGCGGAGGGGCGCTCGCATCGCGACTTGGGCGCCTCAGCAAGTTGAGGAACTCTGAGGCGCACCTGGACGTGGAGCTTTTCGGCGACCTGGAGTCCTTCCTGGAGGACAAGATCGCTGGCGGCCCCACCATGTGCGACGAGACGGGCAGCGCGTTTGTGGCTTAGCAGCGTGATGGCTGCGCTGCAGAGGGCATCATCAGAATGAAGGAGAGCCTCGACGACGCGGGCGTGAAAGTCGTGAAGAAGAACGGCATCGCCGCTGAGCCGCAGACCGTCGGCACGGCCAAGCAGAGGATCGATGAGGCCGTGAGCGTTGTCGTGGACCTGGAGGCCCAGCTGGCGGAGGCCAACGCTAC